GCCTCCCACTCTCTCCCTATTTATTTCAAAACCCCCTTCCCCTCCCCCTTTTCTGATGAAGGGTCTAGGCCTGAAACGTCAGCCTCTCTGCTCCTATGATGCTGCTTGGCCTGCTGTGTTCATCCAGCCCTGCACCTTGTTGTCTCGGATTCTCCAGCATCTGCAGTTCCTACTATCTCTGTTATCTGAATCTGCTGTTTCTGGAGTTCCATTTCATTGTTAAAGCATGTAACTGCAGAACTGACTGTGTGTGTGTGTGTGTGTGTGTGTGTGTCAATTCAGCAATGCCCAAGTATGATCTACGCGCAGAATCTATTCTATAGATATTCAGAGGACACTTCAAAGTGCATGGTAAACTGAGAGGTTTCTCAAACTGGGTCAGAAATCTCACGATCTATATTGTCTAAAGGATAGGCTAACCAACAGAGAGCAGAGTTGAGTCTTTTTCTGGTAGGCTAGATGTAACTAGTGGTGTGCCACTGGGTTCAGTTTTTGGGCTCCAACTACTTACAATCTACATTAATGACTTGGTTGCAGGGATGGAATGTACTGTAGCCAAATTTACAGATGACACTAAAAGAGGTGGGAAAGCAAGTTGCAATGAAGAAATTTTTCAAATACATATGGAAAGTTTAGGTGAATGGGCCAAAATCTAGCAGACTGAGTTTAATATGGATAAGTCTGCAGATATCCATTTTGAATGGAAGAATACAAAGGCAACTTCTTATCTTAATAGAGAGAAATATCAGAGTGCTTTGGTGCAGAGTGATCTGTGTGCCCTCGTGCATGAATTGCAGACAACTATTACACAGGTCATCCAGGAGATAAAGAAGGTAAATGGAATTTTGGCATTTACTGCGAAAGGAGTAGAGAATAAAAGTAGAGAAGTGGTGCTGCTCTTGGAGTAATGCATAGCGTTTTGAACCTATTACTTGAGGAGGGATGTATTTGTATTGGAGATATTTCAGATGAGGTTCACTAGTTTGATTCCAGTGGTGAAGGGTTTGTCTTATGAAGAGAGATTGAGCAGTTTAGGCATGTACTCTGTAGAAATTAGACTGTGGAGAGATCTAATTGAGGTATATAAGACGCTGAAGAAGATTGACAAAGTAGATGTAGGAAGGATATTTCCTCTTCTGGGGTAATCTAAAATGCGAGGTCATAGTTTCAGGATAAGAAATAGCAGATTTAAAACAGAGATGAGGAGAAATTACGTCTCTCAAAGAGTCATAAAATCTGTAGAATTCACTATCCCAGAATTGTGTTGGATGCTGGACAATGAATAAATTTGAGGAGATAGACAGATTTTTTAATTAGTGTAGACTTGAAGGGTTTTAGAGAGAGGGCAGAAAAGTGGAGTTGAGGCCTAGATAAGATCAGCCCGGATTGTATTGACTGGTGGAGCAGGCTTGAGGGGTTGAAATGCTCCTGCTCCTAGTTCTTGTGTTCTTATGTTGGTGTCAAACTGATTTTGCCCATTATTAGCCTTCAGGTGTCACCTAATTACAGAAACCTTAAGTACCACTTCTTTTACACCACCTTGGCAACATATCTCGCCAACAAATATAAAAGTGCCCCACTGTCTGCACTAGTGTAGTATTCATCCATTTCCCAACCAAGGCATTCTTTGACCTCTAAGTTGGATGCTAATTTAATGTCAAAGTCAAGTTACTTTAATGCTGTGGTCCATATTCAGTTGGAAGATAATTTTAAATAAGTCTACTGTCATAAACATATAAGGTTAAAATTTAATTTTAAAAATGCATTGTGGTCAACTAATGTGAATATTTCATCCAGGCCCCTATTTATTGTGAGTTTTCCTGTGCCTAAAAACTGTATGTCATACTTATTTCTGCTTAGTATCAGAATATGGAGGGCATGATTTTATATTTCATGTGTTTGACACCTTTAAGCCCAGCATTTGCTGGCACAGGGTGTCTTCTGGAGTGCCCACTTTAGTGGCCTTTATTTTGCATTCTTCAGCCATAAATGTTAATGGAGATTAAATTAATAAGTGTGGCAAAGGCAGCAGGACTTCTGAGCTATTTGTGAATGACAGGACCTGTCTCCATAAACGTTGAAATTTAAAGATCAAAAAGTTATCAGAACGAGATTGAGGAAGAATGGATAAATTCAACATCAAATCAGAATTTGAAAATGAAAGCAAGAACAAGATAAAAGAAGAAAGCCATGTGCATATTTTAAATATAATATCTCAAGTTATTAAATTCCACAGCAATGCACTAGTTCGTGTTTTCACTTTCTAGGCTAAAAGTGTTGATTGGCACTCATTATCAATTACTTTATTTAAAAAAGATGCTTATACTGTTAATTATTAGTCCTAACTTACTGTGTTTAATGGACAATTAAAATGTGCACTACCATTCTGTGACAGCCATGGGGAGATGAGGGAAAATATGCCATTTTCAGGGGCCTTTTTGTTTCCAACCATCATTTTCTGGTTGATTTACACATTAACGATATTGTGCATCTGTCACATTGGGCTGAATCTTGTACTTGTTCGGTTGAGTGCTACTTAGTGAGTTTTTTGTGAAGTCTTGCAAGGTTTGTCAACATGTCTTTCCAAATTCACCCCATTAACTACTTAGCCCGCCCCTATGGTGAACCCTTCATTCGATTCTACCACCACTTTACCACACACTGTTCATAGAACAACACACCATTGCTGAGATGTCATGGAATTGATCAGCATCTTGGGCGCCAGCGTGCCAAGAGGGGCACTGTCATTGTGGAGCTGCCCTGCACTGTTCATGACATTTGCCCCGTACCTGGCAAATCAGGAACATTTGATGCCCGGCTTTGCAAGCAGGAGCCTGAATATCCTGCTGGAAGGAATGGTGCTCAGGCAGAATATCCTCTCCCTCAGGACTAGAGGAGGCCACCACACCAGACCATGCCAGTCCGGCCTGTGGTTGCCACCAGGCGCAGTATAATCTCATCCATCCGGTGGAATGCCCTGCACTGTGTAGGAATGACTTTCCCTCACACCAGAATTAGTGCCACCATCTTCTCTCTGATACATCACATTCAGTCTGTCTCTGCTACCTGTAATCAAGGCTCCTGTTCTCTCACACTCCTCCCTATTTCTCGCAACATTTTCCCTCCGTCTCTGTCACCAACCACAATCACTGTCACCAAAAACCCTCCATGCCCCCTGTAATGCCTACTCACTCGCTCCTGCTCCTTCCCCACCCACACTACACCAGATGTAACAGCTGGATCACCCACTCTCATCTCCCTTGATACCTGCTCCTCCATTATTCCAGGAAGAAAACAGCTCACAATAGGTTACCAATTGCAGGAAATCTGGTGGACTGTCAGACATTCAGCTCCTCACCCATTACGTGGAGAGCATTGTATGGAGGCTGACTGGCTGAGTCCAGGCCACTGGACTAATACCTGAAGCTGCACTTGACTTACTGTGCTGGGAGCGTCTGTGTGAAGACTATTTCCCTTGCTTTGACTGAGGACAAGCTTCCTGAATCTGTGCTAAACAGCACAGCAATATGTTAGTAATATCATCCTAGTATCATTAGCTGAGGCTGTAAAACATGAAAAAGACATGGCAAGGCAAGGATACTGTGAACATGAGTGAGTGAGCACCATGGGACCAAGTGAACAGACTGAAGATGCAGCCTAGTCCAGACCATGACTTGGGTTCTTGTCCCTGAGTGCAGTGTTCTTACAGCAGCATTACAATGAGAGTTGCCAGTGCAGTGCAGTATGGCATAGAGCTACGACATTCAGAAGCACGCTGTAAGTGGATCAGAGATGTCATGGGGGTTCTTAAAGGTTGGCACTTGTCATATGCCAATGTCCATGAGCAGGAGATCTCTCTGGCCAGTGCCCATGGAACATGCCCTGACGTATTGGCACCTGGTTTCCAACATGAAATTCCTTTTGAGGCAAGTGACAACCTGAAGTCGCCAGGTACCCACTCTGGTTTACATGTTGAGATTTCTTGATGTCCAGCTTTTCAGCAGGTTTGTTAAGTTAGGAAACTGAATATTTATGAGGCAAATTGTGGCACTAGAAAGGTATTTAACAAGCTGCAATCCGCACCATTCCACGGACCCCTCCCCCCTTGCCCTTAATTGGCAACTCATTGCTTTCTGGTGAGAAACTTGCCTCCCACTCGGTAAGTGTATAAAAGATGCAGCAAGTTGCTCTTGATGTCAGGATGAGCATTACCGGGTTTCTAGCATGATTCTATCCTAAATCTAACTGTAGACCACATCGTTCAGGCTGCTATAAATACGACCCATTATTTTTTCACAAATTCTGGACCGTTATAGATATCAATTTGCCAAGTACGTTCCATTACTTAAGCGCAAATTTTGTTGTTCTGCTGAGCATTAACTTGAATCCAAGGGTGATATATTTAAGAAATAGTAGGAACTGCAGATGCTGGAGAATCTGAGATAACAAGGTGTAGAGCTGGATGAACACAGCAGGCCAAGCAGCAACAGAGGAGCAGGAAGGCTGACGTTTCGGGCCTAGACCCTCCTTCAGAAAATGATATATTTAAGTTGCTTGGTGTCCTATATGGAAATTTTATTTTAATATTTTTATTGCTCTGATGTCTAGGGTAAACTGTCAGAAGAAGCAGCAGCTTGCACAGAGACAGCAGCAGATATTAATGCAGCAACTGATCAGTATTCACGCAGTGAGAGTAGTATTGTGGAACAAGAAAGAACAGTGCACCTTTTGGAACGATTGCGAACCCTCGAGGTAAGCAAATGATAAAGTTTGTCTCCAATAAGTTGTACCTATGTAAATTTGAAAGTCTTGCACCAAATGTCAAATGAAAAGCACCTATTACCACTTCTATCACCACTATCTGACAAACCCCGGTAAAGAACTTCGGTCAAGTTCACCATGGCAGATTTATTCAAACATAGGTGGGCATATCTACAAATGTTTGATATGGACACAAGCCCAACTAGCAGCTAAGTGAATATGAGAATAGACTGACAGCTAATGTTTAGTTATATAGATTGTAAAAGGCTAGCAAGAGGTGGAGTGGGCCTTTAAGGATCAAAAAACTTACATTTGAGTACAAGCAACGGGCTTGGCTAAGGTGCTAAATGAACACTTTGTACCTTTTTTTTAAGATGTCATCAAATTATAGTGAAATGGAAATTAGATTATTTACTCAAGTTAAAACTTAATAAACAGGAGTTATAATAGAGGCTGGCCATACATGAAGTTGATAATCATTATGATCAGATGGGATGTAGCTGATGATTCTGAGTGATGTAGGTGTAGAAATTGTGGAAGCACCATCCATAATCTTCCAATTCTGCTTAAGTACAAAAACAGAAATTGCTGGAAGAGCTCAGCAGGTCTGGCTGCATCAGCAGAGAGAGATCAGAGTTAATATTTTGAGGTGAGTGACCCTTTCTCAGAACTGCTTTTAGACACCCTGTGTGGCTAGAGGACTGAAAAATTGCAAATGTTAAACCCTTCTTTTATTTAAAGAAAAGCATGTAAGGATAAACCCAGCAAGTAGAGGCCAATGAATGGAACATCAGTGGTGGAAAGGTTTTAAAAACCATATCTGAGATAAAATTAAGTCATTTGGACAAATGTAATTTGGTTGAGAAAAACGAGCATAAACTGTAACAGCAGATTGTGTTTAACTGACTTGAATGAGATTTTTAATTTTAATGGAAAAGTGTTATTGAGTGTAATATGGTTGATGAGACGTACATGGATTTCCAACAGGTGTTTGATAAAGTTGCCAGCAAAGTTGAATCCCAGGGAATAAAAGGGATACTGCCAGCATGATATGAAGGTGGCTGAATGATGGGAAGTAGCGAAGAATGGTAACTGGTTGGTTTTGGACTAGGTTAGAATAAGACCACTGATTTTTATTGATGTATGGGTGTATAAGGCATCATTACAAAATTTATAGACGACACAGAACTAGAAAGTATTGCAAACTGTGAACAGGACAGTGGTAGATATTGAGAGGGCATAGGCTGGTGGAATGGGTGAATATGTGGCAGATCGAATTCAATGCAGAGAAGTTTGAAATTTTTTTTTGGTAGGAAGGATAAGAAGAGGAAATATAAAGTAAAGGTTACACCTCTAAAATGAGGTCTAGAAACAGAGAGATCTGGCAATGTTGGTGCACAAATTGTTAATGACAGCAGGGCAGGTTGAATAAACATGAAAATGCAGAAGGGAAGTGGGCTTTTTAATTAAAGACATGGAATATCAAAGCTAAAAAGAGCTGATGAAACTTTTATAAAACGGGTTCATGCTCAACTAGAGTATACTGCTGCATGATGTTACACTTGGTCAAGTGCTGCCTTGGTGTCATTCTCATTTCACCTCTGGAATTCAGTTGTTTTGTCTATGCCTGAGAAATTGCTGTGACAAAATCTGTAGCGAAGTGGCCATGGTGGAACCCAAATGCTATGAAAATACTGCTTGATTGCATGGTCACTGATGTCTTCTATCATTGTGCAGATGATCAAGAGAAAGCTAATGGGATGGTAATTGGCCAGATGAGATTTATTCTGCTCTTTGCAGGTAGGACATACCTGGACAATTTCCCTCATTGGTTGTCTGGTCTCAATGTAGTAACTGTGCTGGAACAGCTGAGCTGGGAATGCGTCTAATTCTAGAACTTGAGTCTTCATACTATTACCAGAATGCTCTCAGGGCTCATAACCTTTGCAGTATCCATTGTCTTCAGCTGATTGTTGGAATCATGTTGAATGAATGTATTTGACTAAATTGCAACTGTAGTGCTGCAGACCTCAGAAGGAGGCTAAGATGGGTTAACATGTCTGGATGAAGTTGATTGTAAATACTTCAGCCTGTCTTTTGAACTGAGACGTTGGGATCTCTCATCATTGAAGATGAAGATATTCTCCAGTGCGATTTTCATGATCGTTGATGACAAAATGTGGCAGGGCTGCAGAGCTTAGAAGTGATTGGTTGTGGGATCCCTTGGCTCTATCTGTGGTATATTGTTTCCAATAATTGGCATGCAAGTAGTCTTGTGTTGTAGCTTTGGCTGGCTGACTCCACCATTTTGTATGAATTTGGTGCTGTTCCTGACATGTGCTGCTGCACTGTTTATTGAACCAGAGTTGATCTGTTCTCTTGATGATTGATAATAATGTAGAATGGGGGGGTATGCTGGAACATAAGCTCTTAAATTTTACTGGCAATTGCCCATAGCATCTAACAGCTGCTTAGTTTGGAGTTGTCAGATTAGATCTGAATCTATCCCATTGAGCACAGTGATCAAGCCAAAACATGTTTGAGAATGTGTTCTGTGTAAAGATGGGACTTCACCTTAGCAAGAACTGCCCCCTGTACTATTATTTACAAATAGATTGTTGAGGACCAATCTCGCAGATTTGTTTCCCTTGTTGGTTCTCTCCACAGTGACTGCACTCCCAGTCTGGCAGACAACTCCTTCAATTTTTTGTTGTTTCTTTCAATAATGGTTTCCAATGCCAGGTTAATGCTAGGCAGTTTGATTGGTTTTATTGCCTGAATAGGGCTCTGCGTGAGCCACCCAACACCTCTGTTGCAACTGGTAAAATGGTGTCATGTATGAAAGGTCTGGTGATGGGTGGGCACAGTGCCTTGATTTACAAATTCACCCACATGCTTTCTTGCCCACAAGTGGTAACTCAGCCACTCTTGGTGATGGACTTTGTGGTTCCCTGACCCAAACAATTCTGAGCTCCTGCCAACTTCCGGGCTTCTTCCAAGGGGTGTACTGCTTCACTGGTTGAGGGACAGGGCTATAAGTGATAATTAGTTGGTGTTTCCCTTGCCCATGTTTGATCAGATGCCACTAGACCACGTGGTCTGGTGTTAATGTTGAGGACTCCTTGAGCCACTCCCTTCTGATCACATACCTCCGTATCACCAACTCTGGATCTATCTTGCTGGTGGGAGAGGGCATATCCTGGTACAGTGGTGTCCAAGTGCCGTGAGCATGGCTGCCACTCTGTCACCTTACTAATCTGTGTAATAGCTCTTTCAATTTTGGTGCAAGTCCCCAGGTGTTACGAAAGAGGACTTTATGAAGTCAAAAGGGCTTGTTGTGCCATTTCTGTTGCCTGTATCAATGTCAGATTGTCCACCCTACTAGATTGTCCATTTGACAACCTCAATTTGGTCATGGGAACGTAGCCTAATAGATGCTACCTACTTGATTAAAATTGCACTGAGGATACTTGGGCCAGTGGTGGACACATGCTGTTCATAACATTCTGGACTGTTTTGTAGAGCTACCTGCTTTCCTGCCTACACATGAACAGTATAATCTAGCCTTAAAGGTCAGTGTGTATGTGAGCAAAATAACGATAGATGTGCTGTAATTTTAAAAATAAGAATTTAACAGCTATACAGTATTCTGGCTATCATCCATAATTTTTAAAAATTTATTTATGAATGTGGGTGTCCATTCCACGCTGCCCTGGAGAAGGTGGTAGTGAGCTGCTTTCCTGAACTGCTGCAGTCCTTGGGGTGTAGGGACACCAACAGTGCTATTTGGAAGGGAGTTTAGGATTCTGACCCCGTGACCATGAAAGATCAGTGTTATACTTCCAATCTGAATGCTGTCCGGCTTGTAAGGGAACTTGCTAGTGTTGGGGTTTCCATGCATCTGCTGACCTTTTCCTCTTAGATGGTGGATATTGTGATATTGGTTACTAATGGGGAGCCTTGCTAAGTTACTGCAGTGCATCCTGTAGATGGTACGCACTGTTGCCACCATGCGTTCATGGCAAAAGATGTAAATGTTGAAGGTAGTGGATGTGGTGCTGCCAAATAAGTGCACTGCTTTGTTCTGGATGTTGTCAAGCTTCTTAGTTTTGTTGGAGCAGCTTTCATGCAGGCAAATGAAGAGTGTTCCCATCACGCTCCTCTTGTCTTGTAGATGGTGCACAGGTTTTTGAGAATCAGGAAATGAATTACTCATTGCAAAACTCCTGGTTATTGACTTACCTTAGTAACTGAAGTTTTTGTATGGCTGGCCCAGTTCATTAACAGGACAAAGGTAATTCCCAGGATGCTGAAACAGGAATTCAGTGATGGTGCTGCCATTAATATCAAAGGGTAATGGCTTAGATTCAATCTCATTGGAGATGGTGATTGCGCGGAACATTTTGTGGTCTGAATATTACTTGTCATTTTCAAGACCAAGCCAAGTTTTGCAGCATATGAATGTTGACTATTTCAGTGTGAGGTGCCATGAATGGTGCTGAACATTGAACAATCAACAACAAACATCCCCACTTCTGACTTTATAATGAACAGAAGGTCATTATTGAAAAAAAAACTGAAGATGGTTGGGTTTAGGACACAATCCTGAGAAAACCCTGAAATAACTCCATAGAGGCTAATATCCTGTCACGAGGACACCCTTTATTTACATGTGGAAAGTTCTTGAAACTGATCCAGCTACCTGAGAGCCAGCTCTTAGAGTGAACAGGATATCTGATACTTCTGTTTTTATCTGTCAGCTAGGGCTCCCCCATTAGACCAGATTAACAGCACCAATCAGGGAACTCCTACTCTGTGAGGTCTACTTGGCTGACCTCCTTACAATCACTACAAATCCTACAGTTGAGATGATTGATCTCCAACAACCACAACCAACTTTCTTTGAGACACAAATTGAGGCCTTGTCTCACTCCTGGGTAAATGCAAAAAAAAAAATCCATGACATTATTCAATTAACAGGGAAGTAATCC